GGGCAGGTTGGATGGGGCTTGGAGCAGCCTGGGCTGGTGGGAGGTGTCCCTGCCCATGCAGGGTTAGGACTAGATGAGCTTTGAGGTCCCTCCAACCCAAACCAGTGCATGATTCTGTGAACTGGAGCCTTATGACAAGGCTGGTGGCTGATGTGCTGCCCCCTCACTTCCTCCACATGAGGTCTCTCTCCACCCCTCTCCTCCCCCTGCTCTCAGCTCCTTACCAGATGTTCTGATGGCATCCAACGCCTTCATCCTGTACAAGTAGTTATAGCAGCCTGACAAAGAGAAAACCCAAAGTGAAAGCTCTGAAAAACCTGGGATCAGGAGGCGGGGCTGGGAAAACAAACAGGAACAGAGCACAGAGACACCATCTTGTGGCAGCTCAACATGGCACAGAGAGGCCAGCAAAGCAGCTTGGCCCCAGAGGAATGACCTGCTGTAGTGGGATAAGCACAGGATGGTGTCTCTGGTGGCCTCTGACCACCAGGCAGTGACAAGGGTACCTTGTGTCTCCAGCTGCAGAAGCCTGCTGTCATCCTCAGCCAGCAGCCGGGGCTCGTACTTGATGTCTTGCACCCGCGACAGTCGGATGTCGATTTCTTCCTTTAAATCCTGCACAGCGGGGGGGGAACCCACATTTACAGAGCACAGAATCACATGTTTGGGGTTGGAAGGGACTTCTGGAGATCCTAGAGTCCCACCCCGAGCAGTCACTGTGTGGGATCTCAGGGATGACAAGTCACACCCCAGACTCCTCTGAAATAAACCCACTCCCTCTCTAGCTGCCCACCCCATGGAGATGCCAGCTCCTGGAAGTTATGAAGCAGACTCTGCCCACCCCTGCGGGCACAGAAGGGTCTGGGGGTGCAGAGGAGAGAGGGCAAATCCCCAGCAGGGAGCAGGGGCACCCACCTTGGGCGCGTGTTGCCCCACGGGCACGTGGGGCCCCCGGCGGGACTTCATGGCGAAGCGCATGATCTGGCGTTTCACAAAGATGAACAGCAGCACGAAGACCTGGAGCACCACAGCAGGGACGGGGTCAGACTGAGCCCAGCCCCGTGGACACCCCAGGCTGAGGCAGCCGGGAGCCCCACGGACCCCCGAGCCTGGCAAGCACAGGGGCTGCTGCTCAGCCCATCAGGAGCCCCAGGGACACCCAGGCCGGCCACACAAACACCTCAGTCTCCGCAGAGGCGCCTGCCCACGTCCCGTCCCTGCCCCACGGATGCCAGGACCCCACGGACACTCC